TCTTCACATCACTGCAAGGTGCCTGCAGACCTGAGAGTGCCAGATGGCTCAATGAAGCAACTGGAACTATAAGGGAAAGTTTGAAGGCATAAACTTTAATCATAATTTTAAATTTTTTAATAATGTTTTTTTCACCCACTGTGTTAACACTTATGACTAGACAGGAACCGTTAAAAAAAAGAGAGGATAAAGACTTTTAATCCTTCATATTCTATCTGTCTGTTGTTTAATTGAGACAAGTCAATCCAATTGTTCAGGTGCCACTATTCAAAACGAAAGGCTTTAGTAGTGATTCAAGGCTGAATCATTGGTGCATATTGCATCAGAACAGCCTTAGTTCAGCGCTTAGTAGGTAAGAGTATAATAAGAGGGCTTTTTTATCACAGCATTTCCCATTAGCAGAGAAGCATTTCCCATCTTGCTCCAGCAGAGGTTTTCAGCGGTATAACAAATGTTTCAGTCTGAGGTTCAACACAGGGCGCAGGAGAATAAGGGCAGGCAGATCTAGAAAGCTGATTCTCCTCCCAAACTGAAGGACAGTCATAGCAGAGTGTCATTTTCAAGCAAAGAAGCTTCTGTTCTAGATCAGGCCAAGGAACCATCTGGTCCAGCATGCCATTTCCCCCAGTGGCATCCTTACCCCTTAATGTACACAGAATCATAGAATAATATTTTTTTTCTGATGCTAGGTGTTTTCTCCCTATGTATTGTTTGTGGTTGATAGGAAATTTCTACAGGGTATTTAGTGTGGTTGTTTTATGATGGGTGTCTTAACATAGTAGTTGTGCACCCCTCTGGGCTCCACTAAGGGACAGAGGCATGATGATGATATCAGTATCAGAATGGTAAGGAACCTTTACTTAAGTGGAGTCTCTGACATGCAGGGCTTGTCTTCTGTTTTGGTTGATAACATACAGGCTGAAGTATTTTAATCAACAGCATCTAGAGCCGCTTGTCAAAACTGTCTGGAAATTTCCAACTTTTACAGAATGCAGCCATCAGGTTGTTAACTGCCATGAATATATCACTCCAGTATTACAAGATCTTTCTGCGTCTTTCGTTATGGGCTCTGCTCAAAGTGCTGTTTTTGACCTTTGGAAGTTTAAATGGCCTGGGGACAGGCTGCCTTCTGCTGCATAAGCCTACTTGTCAGCTGTGGTCATATTCAGATGCCCACTCTGGCTGCCCTTGCTATCAGGAGACACCTGCTGAATTTGAACTTATCAAGCCAGTTGATTGATTTTGTTTAGGTTTGAATTGAGGCAATGGTTTCCTGGCCCACTACAGGAGCTAACTAACTCCCCAATGCTATGATAGTTTTGTTATTATCGCTGCTGTTGGGAACTGTCACTTTGCTTATCTTAAGACTGCATACACACCATGTATTTGACGCAACCCCCTCCCACAATCCTAAGAACTATAGTTTACCTCTCAAACATCTACAGTTCTCAGCACCCGTAGCAAACTACAGTTGCCAAGATTATTTGGGGGAAGCCATATGGTGCGTATGTAGCTACAATATTTAACCGGAATTGTCACAGGCAGTGCTTATTGCGTTTGGTTGCCATTTGGCCCCATTGCTTGCCATTTTCTCCCTGCACACCAGGGATGGGGAACCTGATGTTGTCAGCCTTAGTCAGCAGGATCAAATGTTATGGATGATGAGAGCTGAGGTCCAGCAACATTTGGAGGGTGACAGATGCTCCTTCCATGCTCTGTTCCTGTTATACACATACCTACCAGTTGACAATAACATTTGCATTTGATGAAGTGGACTTTAGTCTACAAAGGCTTGTGCCATAATATACATGCTAGTTTTTAAGGTGTCAAAAGCCTTAACAATTTTTAAAATAACTGTCAGTATCATTATTTCATTTGCTCTAACGAGCTCAGAGTGGTATACATAGTTCTTCCCCTCTTCACTTTATCATTTCAACAACCCTGTGAGGTAGGCTAGGTAGAGATAATTCTCTCCTTAAATAGGTTGACCTGGCACTCTCACCCTTATCCTTCTGGCACCTGGTAAAGTCCATTCTGCTTCTTTGGCTTTTAATAGTATTTAAGGCCCTTCTATCTGGTTTGTACCTGCAGTTTTTGTTTGCTTTCTGCTTTTCCTCCTGCTGTTTTGATCGTTGTAATAGTTTAACAGTGGATGCTCTACTTTTATAGTGTATTCTGTAATGTTGTTCACTTGCCGTTGTTTTGGAAGCCACCTTCAGGGCTGTTTAAACTCACATTCTGTTATCTGCCTGTTCTGAAACATTGGTAGCTATGCCCAAAGTCCCCACCCCCACCCCTAACATTTGCAGCTGGAAATATTTTTAATTTTGAATGCAAAGGCTCAGAGCAACCTTATTTTCTCACCCATTTGCATCACATCTAACGATTAAATATTGACATGGCTGCCTTCGGAAGCATGTTTCACTCCCTGAGGCTAAATATCAAAGGCTATTCTTGTATCAGGCCAGCAATTAGTCTCAACTGTATAAAAAGGAGAAAAATAATATTGAGTAGATACTGCCAGAGGGAACTCTATTTCTAAGTCATTTATTATCGTTCTTTTTTGCACCTACTTCCTGTTATTATTACTGATAATTTCCAGCATTTTACTACTATAGAGTGTATGAGATTAGCAGAATGCCGCCTTTTCCAGGCCAGTAACACTATTAAATAGCACTAGAGATAAGGTAAATGTAGCGACCAGGGGGCTGAAAGGAACTCTCCCAATGCTGTACTCTGGACTTGGTCCTGAATGTAGGGTTGGAACCACTGTAATACAGTGTCCCCAATTCCCAAACCCTGGAGCCAGGCTAGGAGGATACCATGGGCGATGGTATCAAATGCCGACGAGAGACTGAGGAGGAGGAGCAAGGTTGCACTCCCTGCTGTCTGAAAAGGTCATCCATCAGGGCAACCAAGGTTGACTCAGTTCTGTGGCCAGGCCTGAACCCAGATTGGAATGGATCTAAATAATCTGTGTTGGAGGACACAGAATGGTTGCAGATGATGCTATAGCATCACCCTGGAGGAAAACAGGTTGGTATCTGAAGGAATAACAAATAATGTGTTTCCTTCATAGTAAGAAAGCCTCTTCTCTCATATTTCTTACTGCTTTTCATTTGAAAAGTAAATTAAGTTAGAGAAAGCTTTGTAAATTCCTTTCCTTTTGACCTTACAACTCTGTTTCAGCCCTGCAATCCATGATTACTAAGAGACTTTTTCCAAAACATGGTGGACAGAGGGATTCAGCTGCGTAATCCAGTGGTTTTCAACCAGTGTTTGAAAAGGGGTGAGGGGCTGCTGGCTCTGTGAGCAAGGGGTGACATAACTGGGCTCCTGAGCCCCACAGGGGTGCCGCAGAAAGAATGTCAAGGGAGCCATGGATCCAAAAAGGTTGGAAACTTCTGGCCTAATCTACAAAAAGTACTGCTTAAATTAACCTTACAATCCGAGCTTGCCTCTCCTGTTGTTTGGCAAAAAATGCAAAGCTGAGAGCCGAAATCCACATTGAATATGTTCTCTTCCTTTTGTGGGATGCAAGAAAAGCTTGTCTCTATTCCCTTCCTAAATGAATCTTACGGTGTGCCTAACAAGCCTTGCCAATTTTGCCCCCTGGAGGCGGAACCCCATCTGCTAAACCAGAGACTACTAATTCAAAGTGTTAGCTCTCATCTCACATGAAATTTTAATGAAGTTAAACTGGAATCTCTTCTCTGTCCCTGAACACCAACCGATCAACTTCCTTGATTGTGCTCTAAGAATATCAATATTCAGTGGTGCAAAGAAAGACTTTCCAAGAGTTGGGGCTATCAAGGTGTCTCCTAAAGTGTTGTTAGTTCATATGCTCTGAAACAATTGGTCTCTGATTTGTGAGAGTCAAGCAGTGTGATTTTAGGCATGTCTGCTCATAAGTGAACCTGAGTTCAGTGGGCCTTACTGATACATGTGCATAGAACTGCAGCCTGATTGGCTGACAGCAAGAATATGGACCCTGATGTGATACCCTCCAGATGTTGCTGGACTACAACTCCCATCAGCCCTGACAACTACCTGTGCTGGCTGGGGTGATGGGAGTTGGTGTCCAACAACACCTGGAGGGCCAGAGGTTTCCCATTTCTAGCTTGGAAGAAGGGTGAGATGAAAATGTGACTTAATATAGAAATTGTCTTTTTTAGCAGAGCCTATTCTCTGAGGAACAGCATTTGCTCTTGCATTCAGGTGAGCATATTGCATTCCTGCTGATTTCCCAAATGCTCCCCCTTTCATCTCTCTGAAAGAGATCTGAAGGCAAAATTGAACTGGAAACATGGAACAATATTCTTCTCCCTGGAAACGTACAGAAGATAACCAAATGACAGCGACAGAAGCCAGGAACTCAAATAATACATGTGATATATATCCCAAAGAGAAGCACTTTGAAATCCCAGTTGGTTTCCACAGCAATGCTTATAGGCTCCTCCAGACAGCCAATTTATTGAGCGATTCATCCTGATTTGCTTTCACAATCCTTGTGCAGACGGTGGATTATGGAGCATTTGTTCCAATTCCCTGGTATGAGCTTGAATCACTCCCACAAAATACTTTCTGGGGGTGACCTTACCCTTCCCTGAAATCTTTAGGACTTGATAATTTTCTTAGATGTGTAAGATTTATAAATGATTTATAAAGGAAACCTACAGTTTGGGAAGAGGGATGTGGGTGGCGCTGTGGTCTAAACCACTGAGCCTTGGGCTTGCCGATCAGAAAGTCAGCGGTTCAAATCCCCGCAACAGGGTGAGCTCCCATTGCTCGGTCCCAGCTCCTGCCAACTGGGCAGTTCGAAAGCACACCCCCAAAAAAGTGCAAGTAGATTAATAGGTACCACTCTGGTGGAAAGGTAAACAGCATTTCTGTGCACTGGTGTCATGTTCCGTTGTGCCAGAAGCGGCTTAGTCATGCTGGCCACATGACCCAGAAAAACTGTCTGTGGAGCGGACAAACACCAGCTTCTGCAGCCAGTAGAGTGAGATGAGTGCCACACCCCAGATTCGTTCGCGACTGGACTTAACTGTCAGGGGTCCCTTTACCTTTACAATTTGGAAGCAGAAGGAAAAAGTGAAAGCTTCTCATAAGAAGCTAAATTGGGGATAGCCAGCACAGAGGCCTCAGATGTTTACAACTCCTATAATCTCAGCTGGAGATTATGGAAATCATAGTTCAAAACACCTGGACAGTTGGATACCCCAGAGCGAAATGTGTGTGTGTGTGTGTGTGTGTGTGTGTGCGCACACACACACACACACACACACACACGCCAGGTTGCAACTCAGAGCCTGGAACTGGATTGCTGAGGACTGACTGAGGAGGAAGTGAGAGAGAAGCTGCAGTCTTCCCATCTCTAGCGCTGCAGCAAGTGGGATTCCAAGTTGGCAGGTATCGTGGATGAAATGAACCGACACAGGGCTAGCTGAGGCTGCTTTCTTACATCCCGTTGTCTTGAAGCTGTACTTCAAATGCTTGGGCTGCCTGCAATGCTACTCAGCACCAGCAACATCTGAAAATGTTGCTGGGGTGACTATAGCGAGGAATGCGCTGTTCTGTATTCAGGAAAGGTGAGCAGTTTTGCTCAGAGCTACTTGTAAAGAGTTACAGGCAGCGTAATGGTCTGACTATTAAAGCCCAGGAATTTGGCAGCATCGTGCAACAAGCTAGTAACATAAAAGATAACGGCAACTGTAATCTACAACTGCCTGCAGCTTCACGGTCTGCAGCTTATGATATATGGCTCTGCTCTATAGTTTGAAGGATGATGTTTTGGCACTGTGGCCACACACAGCACTTGCTCAAGGATAGCAGATGCCGCTCGTGTGTTCACAAAGGAAGTCTTTTGCATAGCCACCCAGGGCTTCTTGGGAGGAAGGTGCAGGATATAAATTTCATAAATAAATAGCCATCATTGGGAAAGCTTCCACCATGAACAAAGACATGCACTAAAAAGAAACAGCTGCAGAATTTTTTCCCATTCAAAATAGGAGACGGTTAGTCAGCCCATCACATTGGCAAAGTCTGCCCCTTGCCCTTTTTTAAAAAAATAAATAAATCCACAAGCCCCACTGAAATAAATGGGAGGCTGGTCTTCATTTCAGCGAAGTATGTGCTGAATAACCCCCCTGGGGCTTGCTCCCTGTGCTTCTTACCAGTATATTGGCTTCTGCAGAGGAAATCCTTTATTAAGATGATGTTCAGAACAGAAGAATGAGCGGAAGAATGACTGGCAGCAGGGGACTGGTATGGGGTGCTGGGTGGAGTCAGAGTGTGTGACAGGCGGAGTCAATTGATAGAGATCATTGGAGAGTGGAGAATGACGCAGACGAGGAATTAGCAGAGTGTTAGGGAGAGCAGTGAGCTGAGTCAGAGTGGTGTTAGAGCTGCTGAAGAGAAGAGACAAACATGCCAGGTTATGACAGCATAATTCTTTGTTATTCTATATTAAAAGTCCACTTGCTTGGATGGCGCTCCATCCAAAATTATATACCAATTTTAAATTTATGAATGTATTCTGGTCTGGGGGATTCCAAGTTAGCAGATCTCACTCCACATACTGATTTTGAATTGCAGCCAATAAAGGGAAAATCTGATTCCTCTATGTAAAGGAGTAGGTGGTGACAGCAGGTTGCTCTGGGAAATATTGGGGGAAGTCTGGCCTGGACCAACTGAGGGCCTTGTAGGAGACTCTTGGAATGCCACAGTGCTGTAGCTTCTGAACCATCCAAGCCATCCCTGGTTTTTAAAGACAGAGATACCATGCGGAGCATCCCCCATTCCCAAGCACCTTAAATAGGGCTCAAATAAGTGACTGATCCAATGCTGCCCTCTGCTGGTGAAATGGAGCTGCACAACAGAAAATTTTGCAAGGGTTGGGGACTCAATATTTTGTATTCAACTGCATTACAGATTAAACACTGCAGACAGAACCTCTCCTCCCATCACCTTTCAGCCAGTTCTCACATTCCCCTGCTGGCCATCAAGTGCTCAGCTGTCAAGAGAGAGATGCCTCTGTAAATCAACCCAAGAGAGAGATGCCTCTGTAAATCAACCCAATAATTACTGAGAGAGAGAAATGAGAATATGAACGTTCACCTTACAGGCTAAAGTTTTGCCTTATGCCTTGACATTTCAAGGGCTGCAATGCACTCTTTAACCAGCTGGGTTGCTTCTTTAGCTGTACCCTGGTGCACGGAAAATCCACCGCCCCCATGTCCGTAATTGTGCACCACCAGAAGCTTTCCACTGCCTCGAACCAGTATCTCTTTCTGGACTCTCACGGCTGACCTGGATGGCCTCAGGCCCACCCTCACCTTTATATCCTGAGCTGCCTGAAGGGATGGCTCAAGAGCACAACATCGGCCAAATATGTCTTTGCTGGTACTGGGATCTGGAGACAGCTTCCAGTTGCCTTTTTGCCGTGTCCCACCTAACGTTATGTTGTGCATCCCTGGGTAGATGTAGGTTAATCCATCGCCGTCCCGAATGAAATGTGTTACCCAAGGGGCCTTGACCTTGAGAACCTGACCTCTGACGGGGTGTATCTCGAGGTCACCCACGAGCTTCCTGGAGCCAATGCCAGAGCAATTCACTATGATGTCATAGTCACTCCGCAGCTCCCACAGGTCTTTGATTTTTCTAGCATGTACCTGGCCCCCATTTCTTTTCAGCCTGCAAAGAAAAAAAATCAAGAGGTGAAATCATTACCTATCAGTGTGAATGTTTTGCCTGACTGTTACGCAGGCCAAGGATATAAGATAATTTAGATGGTCTTTGACTAGTGTGAAATAGAAAGATGGAAAGAAAAAAACAGAAAGGTCCCAATATGCAATCCAGATAATCTCATCCTACTTTTTTAAAAAAGAAACTGTTGAGGAAAAAACCAGTGAAGAGATTGAAAAACCTTATGGAATAGAAGTGTACACAAGTCAAATGGGATCCATTTGTTTAGGGAAATTTTTAATGTTTGAAGTTTTATTCTGTTTTAGTGTTCTGTTGGGAGCCGCCCAGAGTGACTGGGGAAACCCAGCCAGATGGGCGGAGTATAAATACTAAAATCAATTAACAATTAAAATTAAAGCATGCATTTATAGACATAATGCTGAGTATATCCTATCTCCTTCAGCTATCAGTTCATAGCCACCAGTTTAGTCAAGAGATAAAGTATCTATTCAAATTGTAGAATATCTCATTAATGTAAAGATTCAGGTAGGTAGCTGTTTTGGTCTGACGCAGTCGAAATACATAAAAAAAATTTTAAAAATTGTCCAGTAGCATCTTAGAGACCAACTAAGTTTGTTCTTGGTATAAGCTTTCGTGTGCATGCACACTTCCTCAGATACACACTTCTTCATTTATGTAAAGTTAGTGGAACAAAAATCAAAAAGTGTGGCTGTGTGTGTGTTTTGGTAAGTCCCAATGTCTCTATGATCTAAGCAGGAAAAATATGCAATTTGGAAAGAATAACAAAGGACTGAACAAGTGGGAAATGTACAACTAATCACAGGTTAGGTGGTCTCCTTCATTCTCCGGCAAAGAGCAGTTTTTCTCCACCAAAGAGCAGTTTTTCCAGGGATCAGGAAAAGTGCTGAGTCAAGATCCAAAGTATCATGCAATTAGTTTTGTGCACCCACAAGAACTTTAGACTTCTGTTTCTTGCACAGTTGCCCACCAATCCACATGTCAATTATGGAACTGAGGAGACTTTCAGAGCTGTTCGTGATTTGGTGCTGGAGATTGCTGTTCAGAAAAACAGAAGTTTTTTTGTTTTTTTTAACCCACTGTGGAAGCTTCTGCTACTTAAAGCAGAAGCTTGCCTGCACAATCCTACCGATGATTCTCACTCCTCTGTGTTTTAATTCCGAGTCTGTATTACATAAGAGGCTGAGCTGCACTGCCTGCCTGTTTGCTCTCTGTTTGCCCAATTTGAGGTGGAGGTGGTGTGTAAAGACCTATACAGATTGAGACTCAAGAATTTGAAGGAGCTCTCCTCTCTCACCATCTGCCAGCCCAGGCCTTAAGATTTATATGAAAGGCCCTGCCTGCAGCTCTATTGACAGTGGTGGTTCATGGTTATGATGGCACAGAACAAGACCTTCTCTCTTGTGACTCTGCAACTGTGGAACTCTCCCCCATGGAAGATAAAAGCTTCCCACCCCCCAACACCAGCCTCCCACCATCACATAAAGATGTGTACTTTTTTCTTCAGGTCTTTGGAGCTAATGAATTGATCTTCAGCAGATGGATTGGTTGCTTTTATTATCGTTATTGGTTTTGTTTGACATTAAAGTATCAATATAACATTGTGCACCGCCTGTGAACCTGCCGGTTGAAGTGCGGGTTATAAACACTATAAATCATCATCATCATCATCATCAAAAATGCACTGAACAAAGTTAGAGAACAGAGCTTTGAGGGAGGCTGCATTTCCCAGGGGTGTTTTGTGCTCTTACAAAACATCTGTTCAGTTGCAAACACATGTGCTAGTCTGGTAATAAAAGGACACAGAAACCCACATAGATCAAAATTACAGGAAACTGCTCATTGTGCCCATCCTTGAAAAAGCAAAAGCACATTTCCCATCTACCTCTACCAGAAAATAATGCATCCCAGTGTCAGGCTAAAGCAGGATACAAGAGCTGATGAACATTAAGTTGGCCCTTGGTTTATGCTGAAATCTCACTTGTCTGTGCCGCACCAATGCATCCTCACAGGTGGGCACAATTCTTTTTAAAAAAATCATGACCCTCTTGTGCCTTCAACAAATCAGTTGTTCATGGGACGTGCCCCCTCTCAGTGGCAATCATTTTACTGGGAGGCAAAGATGTTTTTGTTTTCCCAGTTTTTTTTTCATTTATTTTTTTTTGTTAAGCTATTGCAATGTTTATGCAGCTGAAAATTATGCTGCCGTGGAACTGAATGCATCAGAAGGTGGTAGACTCTTAATTCCTTTGGTCTGAAGAAGAGGCTGCTCATCATTTATGCTGCAGCTGCATCTCCTGAATTGGAAGTGGCTTTGAGGTCACTCCCAATTTAATGTTTCTGAAGTTTGTTGTGACAGTCGAAAAGTAGCCGACGTGCCCCAATCAAAACTCTTCTTGCCTACAGAAGTGGCTCGTGGGTTCCAGCCAAGTGCTTATGATTGATTCTCTTTTTGTATCTTTTGATGAACAGCACCATAAATAGTGCTCAGGGCACTTGAGGGTACACAATAAATTACACATCTAATAGACACTTCCTTCTGACCCACTCAGTGGAAGAAATCTTAATCATTTGTTTCAGCTACTTGGACACCATCCTTCAAACGGGCCTATCAGCAAAACAGCATTTATTTGAGTGAGTTTTGTGCCAATGACTCACTCTGAGGATCAGGCAGCTCCTTTGGGAAATTACAAGAGTGTAAGACAGAAATGAGGGGCAGCAGAGGCCTTTGCCCACAGGCCTGCCTGACAGATACTAAATGGATTCTGCAATTTAGTTGAGCGTCGGCACCACTTTCAGGACTGTTTAAAAAATGAAACATGACAAGGCATGAGTTCCCCGTGAGGTTGCTCATATGTCAGAACAGCACACTGGAAGAATAAAGAGCACTCAGCGTGTGATTGCTTTGAAGCAAGAACCCATGTTGTAACATGGTGTAAGAATAGAAGTGCCATTGCATTACAACCAGGGAGCACTTTCTTAACATTTGGTCTTTGTTTCACTTTGCATCACATCACCACAATAAGAAAATGGCAGTGTGTTGAAAGCTGGGACAGGGAAGCTGTGGTCCTACAATCCCCATCATCCCTGACCAGACAAAGGGCCATCACATTCTGCTTGTGAGCATGCAGAGGCATCTGTCTGGCTGCTGGTGGAGGCAGGATGCTCGGATAGAAGGCTCTTGGTCTTATCCAATAAGATGGTTCTTTCATTTGTTACAGCAAGGTGTCCATCCAAACACTCATACCTTTTCTCCAGCCAAAGCAAATAGGGTGGGCAGTCACACTTCAGTGTAGTAAAGGCCTGACCACATTTGTGCTGCGGAAATTTCTTCATTTCCTGTTCAGTCATCGAGCGAAACCCCAGAACCACATCAGACCAGAATGGAGGCTTCTCTTCAGGAATGGTTTTAAAGATCTGCCAGCTCATAGACATGAAAGGGGAGGAGGAACGTAAAACACATAGCCATTCTGTTCTGTTACATTTATTGGAAAATCATTATCTAAGAACAAAATTATTTCATATAATTGTGGTTGGGGTTGTTTTTTTTTGGGGGGGGGTAGTTCCATGCTCCTGCTACACCTGTTCCTAAGATGTATTTCCCCCCATAACCAAACTAGGGCCTTTGTAAAGTCCACAAGCTGGGCTTAGTGGCAACAGTCCTCTCCTGCTGTTGCTCTCCTGCTTTTAATACGAAGCTGTTAAACAGCCACCATAATGAATAGCCATTGGGAGACCAGTCCCAAATAAATTTCTACCATTCATTCATATGATACCAAAACATGTGCTTATGTGACAGTGGGGGGAAACAGATACCACACTTGGAAGAGCATATCCCAAGGGTTCCATTTAGGATGCTATTTTCATAGAATTGCATTGTTTTTGTTTGTTATTATGGTATGTATTTTCATGTTTTTATATTGCAAACCACCGGATGAAGGGTGGTATAGAAATTTAAATAATAATAATCATCATCATCATCATCATAGAATCAAAGAGTTAGAAGGGACCTCAAGAGTCATCTAACTCAACCCCTGCAATGCAGGAATCTCAAGTAAAGCATCCATGACAGATGGCCATCCAACCTCTGTTAAAAATCTCCAATGAAGGAGAGTCTACCGCCTCCCTAGAGAGTTTGTTCCACTGTTAAACAGCTCTTACTGTGAGAAAGTTCTTCCTGATGTTTGGTCAGAATTTCCTTTCTTGTAACTTGAAGCCAGGTCCTACTTACCCTCCAGAGCAGGAGAAAACCAACTTGCTCCATGTGACAGCCTTTTAGATATTTGAAGGTGGCTATCATATCTCCTCTCAGTCTCCTCTTTTTCAAGCTAAACATACCCAGCTCCTTCAACTGTTCCTCATAAGGCTTGGTTTCCAGACCCTTGATCATGCCCTCCTCTGCACGTGTTCCAGCTTGTAAATGTCCATCTTAAATTGTGGCGCCCAGAACCGGACACAGTATTCAGTAATACTAGTCATTCATGAGCGCATATTGGTTTTGTCTCTCTCCCCTTCTAAAACGTGGCCACAAATTACAATTCCAATGCATGCATTTTTATGTGTTTATTGTATTTATAGCCCACCTTTCTTCCTCAAGTCAGTGTACATTGGGTTCCTACCCAGACAGTCACACAGGCACTGTCCAGACCTTCACTGCTTTATGTGCCTTGGACTCTGCTTGGCCAACAGGCTTGCCTGTCCCTCTGCTTTTAGTAAGCATAGTACAGCCTTCCTTATTTACCCAGAGACCAAATGAATCCCAGCCTCTGAAGCTTCTGAGGAATTACAGATTACTGACAGGTAGTCAAAGGTCTCCTTAAACCACTGCTTCTGTTGATGAACCGGTGTGTCTGCACAGAAGAAGAGAACACAATTTAAATGATGTTTTAAATTTATAGTTTCATATCTCTATTCTCCATACTGAGCGAAACATCTAGAATACAATGGAGCTTGACGGTAGCTTGATTTGTAATCTAGTCTTGCAAAGTGATTGCTGCTGCTTCCTGTAAAATACTGACTACCTTCATACGTAGTTGAACGGATATATTTTCCAGCTTCTATGATGTATGTAACATGGCCAAATAAACAATGCAAATATTTCTGCCTGGAAGCAAAGTGTACATACAGAGTCCAGAACATGGAAGAGTCTTGCATGCAGCAATAGGGGTACTACAATAGGCGCAGTGTACAAGGCTCTTTGGATGGAGTTTTGGAAGGACCCTAGCCTGGCAATATTACAAAGAATGTTAGTAGCTTATTGATTGGGTGCAAGTGCAATGCGTAATATTTTAGATTTGCTACTTTTCCCCCCCGTATAGAACTACTGTAAAGAGAGAGAGAGAGAGAGAGAGAGAGAGAGAGAGAGAGATGTACAGTTGATGCTAAACATATATGGAGGTTATGTTCCAGGGATAAAGCCAAAATCGTGAATAAAAACACTCCCTGCATCTCTGACAGAATTGCTCCCAAGTAAGCATGTGCCAATGTGTGGGAGGGATCCTTTTTGGCCAAGCACATGAAAGCGTGGGATTGTGCCAGCAAGTTAAAGGTGAAGTGTAAAGTTATGAGACGCGTTTCCGTGTGCGGCTCTGGCTCGCCAGACAGCTTGTCACGCTGCCACGTGCCCGAAGTGTTTGGACAGCGTGGCCCAGCCTCTTAAGTGAATGGCGCCAACCTAGAGTCTGTCAGACTGGCCCGTACGGGCGGGGACCTTTACCTTACCTTACTAGCGGAGGTAAACGCGTTCCTGTGTTTGGCTTCGCCAGATGCAGTTGTAGCTGGCCACGTGACCCGAGTGTCGGACAGCGCTGGCCCCGCCTATAGAGTGAGATGGGCCACACCCTAGATCTGTCAAGAACTGGCCCGTATGGGCAGGGGTACCTTTACCTTTACCTTTTAAGTTATGAATCAACTGTACATGCACCTCAATTTGGCAACAGCAGCACTCATTTCACAGCAACCACTTCAGTGTTTTGTTGCTCGTGGTGCACTGATCCACTTGTCATGGAATCAGCCCTGAAAATGACAGTTACCCCTCTCTGAAGCCTGTTTTGGGAGCTGATAGTAAATACAGAAAATCATCTGGAGGATGCTGAAGACTCACCTCTTTACCTTCAATTTTGACACTTGAGGCGTTATGTTTAGGACCCACCTTATGTTTATTGTTGTAAGTTGCTTAAAACCATTTTTAATATTGTGTTTTATTGTTGTAACCCACCCTAGGACCTTAGGAAAAAGGGCGGAAAACAAATAAATACATAATGTAAATATCTATGCCTATTTACATTTTGCATCTTAAGAAGGAAATTCCACTCACCTGGGTAAATATGAGGAATGAGCATCCCAGCAGCTACATCACTTGTTGTATTGGGGGTAAACCTGTCAGCAATGACAGTCACACTGCAGTCTGAGACAGATTCCGAAATGCAAACAGCAGTAGAGAGGCCAATGAGCCCTGCACCAATGACTGCAATCTTTGCCTTGGCCATGTTCTGTTATGAGAAGTGGAAGGAGAAAGGGGGGGGGGGGTGAAAATAAAATTTTAAAGACAAAACAAGGAATTCTTATATAATGATTTTTTTAAAAAAATAATAATAATCTAAGAATACTTTTAAAAAAAATCTGTCCATTGTGGAACAAGATATGGAGGGCTCTTAATCCATAGATATCTTAAAAGGGATTAGCATAGGGGACCTCACCCATGCACTTGATTGAATAGGTTCTTCTGGAAATAAAGCTTAAGAAGTATCCGTTCAGCTTCATTGACAGCACCAGGCACTTTTGGGCAGTTTCTTGGATCCCAGCCACCTGGAAGGGTCCATTAGTCTGGATGCCTTTTCACTCAGCTACAGGCTTCCTTAGCAGTGGCTCACAGCCTTCTTAATTTCCTACTATGCCTCAGAGCCATGGTACACTAGGGTTATTGCGGGACTTAAAAGGGTCGCTCACTGTTGTCACTGCAAGGTAAGTCCTGGCCAGAGGTGTAACAATGCAGACTGGGACCCACAGGATAGGACTTTGCTGAAGGCCCTTTCAAAACTACAGCAGCTCTGCCACTGTTTAAATAACAAAGTAAAGAGAAGGTGGAGTATGCAAGCAAGCACAATTTCTTCTCTAAACTAAAACACAGCCAATTAGCCAGTCATTCCTTTGAGTGGAACAAAAGGTCAACATGAAACTGCACAATGTCCAACTACACATCTGCAAACAGTGTCTGCAAAAGATACCATCTGTGAAGAAGAGAAAGTCACCCCAAAGCATGGGGCAACATCAATATATTGTGTCTTTGACAGTCCTGGCAGAATGCAGAGATTATGTATTCATAGAATATTCATATTCATCGAACCTCCTGTTGCTTTGATAGCCACGGCATTCATGTTGGAACAGTTTATGGATCAACAAGTACTTTAAAAAAAAATCTAGTAGAGAGTGGCCTTCGTACCCTGCTTTAAAACATCTTAGGTTTTGAACTTCCTTTGAACTTTGCACATGACAAGTAGAATTTGGTTGATAATTCCCCAAAGTTTATTTCTGATAAAAGAGTACCAATGGAAAGAACAAGTACCATATTTTTCGCTCTATAACACGCACCCGACCATAACACGCACGTAGTTTTTAGAAGAGGAAAATCCGTAGGCATGCCACCTGTAGGCGTTCCCTCCATAACACGCACAGACATTTCCCCTTACTTTTTAGGAGGAAAAAAAGTGAGTGTTATGGTGCAAAAAATACGGTATTTGTTTTTTTCCCTTCTAAGAAACAGCAACAGCATGATTGAGATCAATATTTTCTCAAAATATTTTGGCATTTCAGTTCTCCCCAGCCTGACTGTTGAAAAATCAAATGAGGAAAACTTTAGTAGATCTGGTTCCTTTGTTTAAATCTTCCATAACATGTTTTAGCTGCTGGTTTATTTTAGATGAAATTCCTGCTTACCATTACCTTCTGATATTTTGTGTCTTTTTTCTTTTTTGGTGGGGAAGGCCACCATGCTCCTTAGAGCTATGTTATGCTTTCTCTATAATACAGATATACTAAGGAAGAGGGAGATCATTAAATCTTCCCAGTGAGCATACATAATTTATCAGAGGCAAGGGCTCTGACACTTTTTCCTAATATGAACTGAGTTTAGACTATTCCATTTCTTTAATCTGCATGTTTTCTTCTCTCTCTCCCTCTCCCTCTCCTCTCCATTCCAACAACAAAAAATAACAATTCTAATGAATGCACAACAGAGCCACTCTTATGATGAATGAATATGATCAAATGTTTACTGCTTGCAGTCATAGGCCAACACACAGAGGAGAGGTAAAAGAGGAAATGTCTGAAACTGACATACAATGTGTACAATTAAACTACCAGTTCACAGTTCATCATACAAAGCATGATATAAATAGCCGCTAATAACAACTTCCAAAGGTTTCTAGCTGTTTAGTTTGGTGAACCAACTTTGCAATTTACCTACACATTATTTTTTAAAACCTGCACAGATTTTTGTGTTTGTTGTGTGTGTTGCAGTTGAATACATCAAGTCAAAGTGGAAATATTTCTGCCCTTCCACAGAATAGAGAAGGCACCTCCATCAACAAAACACATTTCAATATATGTACAGTACTGTAAAATGTTTGGCACTGAAAAACATGAACATTCGATGCCTTATAAAATTAGGAAATAAGATTTTTTTAAAAAAGTTTTTCACATTTGTACTGCACTCTTCATCTAATGAACTCAGGGCTGCACACATGGGATCAAGCCCATTTTACTGTCAGATTATGGTATACTAGGCTTGAGATTTGGTGGGTTTCATGGTTGAATAAGGTCTGTCCAGCAAAATTCTGTCCACTAATGCTATGGAGTATATCACACAGTTTTATACTGGTCCAAAAATAACAAGAACCCTGCAGCATATTAAAGCCTAATATATTTTATTGTTGTTAGCCGCCCTGAGCCCGGCTTCGGCTGGGGAGGGCGGGATATAAATAAAATTATTATTATTATTATTATTATTATTATTATTATTATTATTATTTATTATGACGTCAGCTTTTGTAGAGGTGTGCTGGAGTGGATTCCAGTCCATGAAAGTTTGTGCAGTTCTAAATCTGATAATCTTTCAAGGTGCCACAAGACTCTGCTGCTTATGCTGCAAAAGACTTAACGTTGCTACCCCTTCTTGAGGTTACAATGGTCCAGTAGGCTGAGGAAATAAGGAAACAAGGGTTTTGCCACAGAGTACTAAGTCGTCTTTTGCAAAGGGGATCAAATATTTATTTCACTCATTCTAATGCACATCAATCTCTGACTTTTGTCTTCTGGGTTTCTGGGGGTTTTCCTGTTGTTATTCTGTCTCTCAAAGCTACAGTAAACCTACCATTAAAATTATGGACTGGTCATTTCTTCGTTAGGGGGCATACGGGCAAATTTAGCAGGGGATCAAACACTTTCCCCCCCCACTGTACTAGTTCCAGCCCCTGCCGTTTGTGCAGCACACTTTTAAACAGGGCTCAATTTCTGTTGAGAAACGTTGCAAAAAACACGATTTGACAAATGATCTCTGACCAGTCAAAAACGCGCCAGTATTTTCAGCAAACTGCTTAGAATGCGGATAAGAGCAGGAGCTATGAAGCAGGATAGCATTAAAATAAAAAATAAAAATCCGCAAAGCTCTCCGCCCTCCCCTTTCTCCAGGAACCGGCTTTATAATAATATGTAGGTTCACAGCGTACATTTCCTACATGGCTCTACATTTACTTGGATAGACGGACTAGGGGAGTTCACGGGTTTTCCCGCTCGTTCTGACGAGCCCCGGGCAACCGCGGGAGAGAGGCTAAAAAATACCTTTCCTTTCAAAAGAATCCGGACCCTTTCCGACAAAGTGGCGCTTCCCACCAAAGGTTTCCAGGCCACGGACGCGACCATTAGAAGGGGACGGAGGGGAAACGCAGGCTCGGAGGGCGGGGCAATCGCCAGAAGACGGCTCTGCTCGTTCCCGATTGGTCAGCACCGGCGGATTTCGGCGACTCCACGGGCTCGAGGGTGGCCCGTTTCGTGCTCCCTCCCGCCGATCCTCGCTCCTTGCAACGAGGCGTCTCCCACTGGTGTTTTGGATTCGTCCGACTGGATCCCTGTCGCCGAGTGTCCATGGTCCCTTCAAGGGAAACTGCTTCAGTTGTCTCGTTGCATGATTTTAATTGGTGCTACTGGGCAACATCGCTGTCAACTTTCCCCTTTTTTTAAAGGGAAATTCCCTTATTCCGAATAGGATTCCTCGCAAGAAAAGGGAAAAGTTGACAGCTATGCTGGGCAACGAAGTCAAAATAAGAGTCGCAAGGTTAAATATTAAACCAGAGGCGGTTTATTCATGGCCGGATTATAATGGTTGCAATTGGAATTACTGCGCCAGGGCTTATGTCTGCAAGGGACCCAGGGAATGTTTCACGCTCTTGTGTGTCAGTCTCCAGGTGGGAGTAAGCTACAGTTCCGGGTGTGCAGCCATGTGTTTTAAATGTATGGTGTAGCTGTTACATACAGGTTTCCATTACCTCTCAGAGGAAAATCTGTTAAAGCTCCTCTCTTCAGATACGTCTATCAGAGCTTCTGCCAAAGGTTTATTTATACATGAGTGGGCCAACCCAAGTGGCCACCCCACTCCACATTTCCAGCAAACATATGGAAGGAGGCTTTGACTGAAACCCCGCTTTGGAGGGAATCTCCCTTTGAATTGGAGCATCCTAATAATTTGTATTGTTTGTGGACTGCCGCCTCTCCCAAGCTGGCAGTGAGTCACAAAACATATTAGAATGCAGTTCAAAAAAATCTACTGGTTGCAAATGCAACGTGCAGAAAATGATTATTTGGTACAATCTCTTGCCAAAATGATACAATATGATTAGATGTGTCGCATATGGTCACAGTGCAACATAGATTTAAGTACTGTGCTGGATCATAGCCAAAATTCATATTTGCTTTATGATCAGAATGTTTCAAGTTGCTGGTTATATTGAATATATTTTATGTTCATTTTTATATCTTTAGGGCCAACTATTTACATGAAGGCAGTTCCAGGTGGGTAAAGAGGTTTATGCCATGTGTAGATGTAGGATTCCTCAGAAGTTGGGAAGAGCAAATTAATACTCCATATATCTGGGTCCTTGGTTATGTATGCAACAGGAGCTCTTTTCCAGAAATGTAGGAAGCCCTTCCCTATACTTTCTTTCTTGTTGGAAGAGAATCTAATGCGGACATTCTCTTCCATCAATGGTCAAATCATCACTTTGCACTTTGGGAGCAATTAGATGCATAGTACATGTGTAAATTTGTTTTCAGTCAAAACAAAAAGATGGCCAGATAGCAAAGGAGGAAGTGCCATTTCAATCAGCAGCCAGACAACTCCATTTTGCAGTAGCCAATGTGTGTCTCTACTAACAAGTCATGAGGATATCTTGTAACAGTGTGTGAAAAGATCATCTATGGTTTTTCCTGGAACAGATGTTCTCTTTCACAAGATTGGGTTTCATAAGAATATGGATTTATGGAGTGGTGATGTCATCCAATAACTGAAAATATGGCAGTGAAATCAAGTGACAAACATCATGCCCTCAGCTTCAGAACCCAGGATACTGTTTTAATTATAGAAAATGAATGTGTGGTTTTTTCTATGAAGTAATAGACATAAATGATTGTCCAATGTGTAAATCTATGTACCACTAACTGTGAAAGTGATAACATTGTGTTTTAAAATTTTCTTTATAATTAACAATAAATTAACAAAATATGTCAGTGCAAGCTATGCATTTTAAGGGCTTTTATATTTAAAGAATCCTGGTAGTGTTATATATCTATACATACAGATATATGGTAACCTGAGCAGTTGCCTTATGCTGGCTGTCAGATACAGAGCTGGCCCACCCATGATGTGAGGTGATGCACCCACCTCAGGTGGTGGAACTGAAAGAGGCAGTTCTCTTCCCACCCCACCGCTCCCACTACAGAGAAGGAGGCATTCTGGAGCACAACATTGCCACTTGTCTTCCCTGCCCCTGGGTGGAAAAGCCAAGTGAGTGGCAACTTCTGGAGGAGCGCCTCAGCTCCTGCTGAGTTCGGAGAGAACTGGAGCTTGGTGGCAGCAGAAGTGGGGCATGGTGGGAGGAACCAGGGGTTGGCAATTCCTGTTTATCCTCAGGTAGTGAAATGGGATAAGCTGTCCCTGCTCAGATAACTAGTCCATGCCTAGCCAAGCATTTTCTTCGTGGGCTGCCAGCAGTTTCCAGACATTCCTATTCTCCAGCTGGCAGCAGTTCCTAGGCAGAGACCTGTAAGTGGAAAATTATGGAGACTGAATCTGAAACCTTATCCAGACAATGAATGGGTGCTTCCAGGGGCTTTTATTGCTTGCTGCCTCAATACATCTGAAAAATCAGCAACAGCTCTTAACATTCTACCTGCTACGGTAAGTCACTGGGAAATATGAGGAGTTCCCTGCCAAAAGGGATATTTGTCAGTCCTGGTTTTGGGGGTTGGTGAGGGGAGGCCTGCAGCCTACGACTGCCAGTGTTTGTTGGTGCTTTCCTGCTGGTTGTCTCACAGTAGTCTTTACAGGGGGAAGCAATGAGAGCCCTTCTTTCTGACTTAACACTAATGCATTGTCCATAGGGAGAGGTGTGAGCATTGCATTTAGTGACATCATCAGGACATTTTATCATCACACGTTGATTAATGGCTTAATTGCTTTTCTAATGTGGGGATGTCATTCTCCATCAACATTATGATTGGTGGATGGCAACAGGGTTGCTCAGAGCAATGCAGGAGTGGTTGTCTGTTTTGCTACACTGCCTCTTCTTTTTCTTGCTGTTCTTTGGCTTTCACCTTTGCTGCTGAGAACACATCATGGCATAAATGAATTGCCCTGCCAGTCGTGAAACGTTTATTTCAAGGGTGGGGCACCCATGGCCCTCCTGATGTTGTTGGACTCCAACTCCTATCTGCCTCATCTAGCAGAGCCAATGGTTAGAAATGATGTGAGTTGTAGTACAACATCTAGAAGGGGCAACCCAGCCAGATGGGTGGGATAAAAAATAATAAAATTGTTGTTATTAAGGTCCAGCCCAAGTACCAAGTATCAAGGCAGGACAATACCTGTTGCACCCAAGGATAACTGAGGGTGCCCAAGATTTCTGTTGTTAAAATAAGAAACTGTATATAGTTGGCCTACACACCTACACCCACCCACACACCTTTCGAGAACCACAGTCTTTATCCCCTAGCCTTTGAAAGGGCTGGCACAGACAAAATGGGGCATATGAGAAATGGAGAGTCTCAATCACTGGAGTCAGGAGGGTTCAAGAATCAGGGAGGGAGGAGGGGGTGTTGGTGGGAAGAAGTCAAAGTATTCTCTTGGGCAGTGGTTCCCAACTGATGGTCTGTGGACCCCAGGGGGTCTGCATAACCTACCAAGGGGTTCAGTAGTACCATTCATCTAACAAAAACTACCACAGATCAACAATTTCAAAAGTAAGGGGAGGGGGTCATAGCTTGGCTTTCAAAAAACAGGGTCTGCAGTACTTAGCTAATTAGGAACCACTGCCTAGTGGTCTCAATATTAGAGTTTGCTGCTGTTGTTCAAGGAAATACGTGTTTCCTTTAATGCTGCCTCAGAAATATGTTGTAGCATACATTTTGCACAGTCGAGCTTTAGTAGTTTCGCACAAGGGTTTCTGCTTCTTTGCTAACTTTACCTTAGTCCACTTGCTTCCCTGCACAGTGAAACACCCATGAACAAGAAGCTTGCAAGCAGCTGCTAGAGGTTCAGAATGTGAAGGAGTTGCTAGCAAGCTGAAAGCCTGTGAGGTGGACTCCTGTACCTCTAGGATGGGTGATCAGAAGGTGATGGCAGGAGGTGTCCTTGTTGAAACTTGGGACAGATGTGCCAGGATGCTTTGCTGAGAAAATGAAACTACAAAGAAAGGAAAGAGCAACAGGGCACAGCTGGGGAGCCAGAGGAAGAGGAAGGGAGAGGCCAAGGAGATCTGAACACACGAGAAAGTTAAAAGTGGGGAGGTAGAGGAGGAGGACAAACATGGCTTGGCAAGGCCCTTCCCTCTGAAGCCACAGGGGAATCATTGTGGAAACCAAAGGCTGAGATTGTAGCAGCTGATTCCCCTCAAACTGTTTTCTTTGTTAAAATGGCTGGGAAAGTTGCATTTCCAACAGGAACAGAAATTAATTGTGAGAGAGCTGCAGGGGTAAACGTAAGATAAATGATTGAAGAATATCCAAAAAGCTTTGTTCTGAAGACTCAACACATATTTTTTTTAAAAGCCTAGTATGTATAAACATATGCATATGTAGAACACATCCAGCAAAAGACCTGTGGCCTGGTGACCCCAGCCTCTGCTCTGCAAAGTAGTCAAGCACATGTCCTTAGTTTTAACTGAAGGTGGTAAAGAAACTCTCCAGGGTTAAAACTACGTGTTTCTTTAACCATTTAAAAAAGAAATTAGCAAGCTTAAGAGCTATCATTCCTCTTTATTAATAAAAGAGCAGCAATGAGGGAGGGCCTTTCCGGATTGGGACAATGGTTAACTCTTTCCCTTATGCCATTTTCACACTGACAATTGGCCCCAGAACTGTTATTTGCCCCCAAAGAGCTATTTGCAGCCAATATTCTGTATACAACATCCTTCTGTAGTTTTCTTCGCAGATTTTTCTGGCCTTCAGGCATACCAAGACATTTTATTCTTACAGCACACTTAAGATGATGAGACTTATACGAGCTGAGTGAAAATGTATCTTGGATTATCCTCAGGTTTGTACCGTAGATTACGGTTTATTAGGCGACTGGGCGTATTAGACGACCCCCCAAATTTGCAGCTGCCAATTTGGGGGTTCGTCTTATAAGCCCAGTCGCCTAATACGCTGGGCAGCTCTGCACCAGGAGGAAGCCGCCTAGCGAAGCCAGCTTAGCATTGCTGGGCAGCTTCCTCCCGGCGTGGAGAGGAGCCTGCCGTCCGCTGCTGCGGCAGCTTCTGAAGCAGCAGTGGGTGGGCTCCATACCCGGCGTATAAGACGACCCACAACTTTTTAACCTCTTTTCCTGGGTTAAAAGGTCATCTTATACGCTGGAATCTATGGTAATAAGTCAAAGGGCATGTACACACATTTAGTTTCATGCCAATTCTCCCCCCACCCTTGAAGAGCCCTGTTAAAGATTGAAAGAGTTAAAGATTGCAACTGAAATAAAGGGAAGGAATGAAAAGGAATGAAATAAAAATGGCACTCCAGTTTTTAAGACAACCTGATTTTATCTGTGCTGCAGAGACATTGCTACAGACAGCTAACAATATTTTGTTTCGGTCACACATAATTCCTTTAACATTCAATGAGCATGCATGCTGTCTATGCAACTTACAAATGTTGACTGTCTCCATTAGAAGCCATGGGCTGGCTTCTCCTTTTAAATGGATGGCATTGCTAAGAAATGAGACAAAAGCTTAGAAAACCTAGATTGGCACATTCCATTTATTAAGAAATCACTACAATTATTTGAGAGTTTTCCTTCTATGTAAACATTGTCTAAATGTCCGAGAATGTAACAATACCAATTCATGATTTGTTGTGGTTGCACTTGGCAATTCAAAAAATATTAACAGGGGATTTTGAAATGACAATGAATGCAGCAGGAAATCTGAGAAAGAAGCTAGAGGTGGCTTTTTAAAATCAGTATCAGAAAAACATATTTCTTTGAATTAGCATTACTCACGTCATATGTTAACAAAGTGCTTCAGAACAGCTTCAAAATATGTTCTACAAGCTCTAATTCTTGTCTCCATGATGAGAGGGCAAGAGGGTGTACAGATTACAAGGAACGTGTACTAACCAGTGGATATTGCAAACGAAGGAGCACAATACAGCACATAATAGCATTTTTAAAAATCTTATCCATCAGTGCCGTGTGCCTCTTGGTTCAGCATCTCAATCTTATCCCGTGCTGCACCATCCTGAGATGCTGGGAGATACTTTTCTGAGCCACTGTCTTTTTTCATATGCTCATTGAGTTCTGCCCATGTATTTGTCAACGGCTTCCCAAGTGTTTCTGGTAGCATCAGGGTTAGCACTCCACTCAGGAAGGCCATGACTCCTACAATCAGCTAAAAGAAAACAGGTCATGTAAGCGAGAGAAGCTAACTGCATGAAAAGCAAAACAAGAGGTTTTATTTACTATTGTTAACAATGACACAGATGAAGTTGCAGAGCAACCCAACCCCCCCCCCAAGTTGCGCTCAAGGGGGTTGGATAGAGCCCCCCTCCCAGCTCTGCTTGGCTCTGCCATCAGTAGGGGAGCCCTACCACTGAGGAGTGTTGTAATTCAAACCATAGCTTAGCTCTGGATGAGGCAGCAGCAGGATGACCGGGAGGACTGAAATGGCCATGGTTTTAATTTTGAGTACCTACAGGCTTGTAACTTCAAGCTTAGCATTAGTTTGGCTTAGCATCATATGTGAACTGGTCCATTGTGGATATGCTCAAGTCATTTTCAAAGGGGCTACAGTGCTGATATTTGTTTGTTCCAGGCCTCAACTACTGGCTGTTCTCACACCTGGCCATCTAGTACATTACTGGCATTGTCAAGTTTGATGAAGCTGTTAAAACAAAGCATTTACCTGTGGCATAAAGATCCAAACACTTGACAGGTAAACACAGAAAGGGGCTACCACGCTCCCTACCCGGCACATCATGCTCCCACTGCCCACTGCAAGGGTCCTGAACAGTAAACAAAAAGTCCAATTTCAATTGATACTGTTATAAGCAGAAGACATTTTCACAGAGCAAAGCTGCAGGATACAATTCTAATTCTTAAGGGGTAAAGAGTTTTGCCTTACCGTGCAACTGTTGGATATAGCTCTGCCGTATACAGGTAGATAAGGCCGAATGCAACACCTATTGCAAACTTTCCAGCCATATTTGCTGCAATAACTAGAACACTGTAATCCTGTCAAGAGGAAACATAATTTTATAACAGCATAGGGAGCATGAATTCACTGAGGGTCACTGAGGGACTTATGTTCCAGAACTCAGTTCCTAAAAGCCTTGCTATTTTGTAAACATTCAGGAACCCCTACTGCACTGTTCAGAGCAGACAATGGTTTGGTTTCCTTTACCAAGTAATTAATTCCATCTCTGCACTTAATCACACTGGACAGTATTTTTTGACTACTATTGTGGGCCCAAAGGCTGCAGTGTCCTTTCTTAAGTTCCATCTAAGCATGTAAACTGTCACATTTTGGAAAAGGTTGCTAGATCAGCAAGTTACCAGTTTTACAGATGGAATATTGTCAGTATTTCTGGAATTTATGGCCCATTTCTTTAAGCCATGGCGTCAGCTATGATCTACAATTAGTTCAGTAACAACCCTCTGTGTCAACCCAAGGTCCCATAATTGCTGCAACGTTGACAAGAGCCACTATTGCCAAATGTGGCCTCATGTAGCCCAAAACTTGCCAAGAGGAGATGGAACAGGGGTGGAAATGGGGCAATATTCTTCCATTAGCATTCTGATGCAGTAATTCAAGCTGGCAGCAATTCAAAAACCTTGGGTGGAATTCAACGTCACACTGTTACAGATGTTCCATCTGTGCACATGTATCTGCTTGCCAGATAAAATGATATCCCATTTTCTTATCCTCTGCTATCCTGGGAGTTTTCTCAGTCCCCAGGAGCCAATTTTGAGGAGTGCACAGGGGGAGGAGAGTGGGGGAACCCTGTTGCACAGGCAGAAACCCCTGCACTGGGCTTCTGCTGGTGGGGTTCATTAGGTGAACCCTGCCCTAGACTCCATCTGTACTATACATTTAAAGAGTACCATGAGACTTTCAACAATCATGGGGACCGAAGTTTGTTAAGGATGTTAGAAGACTCCTGTTTTCCCTAACAAAGCTACAATCCCAGAGTTCCCGCGGAAGAGGAATGGACTATTAACCACTCTGAGAACTGTAGCTCTGTGAGTGGAACAGGCGTCTCCCAATAATCCTCAGCATCTTTAAAAACCACCGTTCCCAGGATTCTTCAAGGAAAGCCAGGACTATTTAAAACGATGTGATACTGCTTTAGCTATATAATGCAGATATGGCTGAAACTGACAGGAAACAACACATGCCTGAAGAGATCCTCTTGCCTTTGCTCCAGGATGCTACATTAGTACAAAACCCACAGCATGTTTATATATATCTGATGCAGGTGTGAGTGACTCACCTGAGGTATTCACCATGACTAGAGCACAGATCACTGCACTCGAGATGAGGAATGGGATCAAGGTGTTCCTTCGTCCCAGTTTGTCCATTCCTATGCAAGCCAGGACATAGGCAGGAAGCTCCACAGCACCTAGCATCAGATAATTCACATTTTAAAAAATGTGTTAGATACATAAAGACGTGGCTAGACTGCTGCTTCCCGTGATTTTTATTTTCTCTCCAGTGTGGCCTTAGCCTGCCCCTCCCCTTATGCCTCAGCCCTCCAATTTGGCAATTATGGCGATGGCAACAGGGCGGCCTAGAATACTGCAAGGTACTGAATATGAAATACACTTGCCACTTGGGGAAAATGATCTACAGAAACAAAGGCTGTTACAAAACAACTTTCCCCAGGTGTCAAAAGGATACCTATAATGGCTCCTGCAGTACTATGTCAAAAAGCCGAAATAAAAAAGAGTTCTTTGCTCTGTGGCACTTTAAAGACTTATTGTGACACAGGCATGCACAGGGTGAAAAGGCCCTTAGGCCTGCCAGTTAACTGGAGCTCATATGACTAACATCCTGACACTAAATATGTTGAAATAATGGGCACAATCCCATCAAACTGAAATACTGTGAAAATGTCACTGATAAAAATGGAAGAGATTTAAGTGTATGTTTTAAGTCTCCCACTGAAATCAGCAAGCACGGCTCCAATTTGGCTGAACCATGCCTTAAGTGGTCAGCAGCTGATAAATGTCTTCACGATTACAGAAAAATTCACTTTTGTAACAGTATCGATCCACTGGCAATACACTGCTGCTAAACAAAATGGAATACTAGCACCTTATCTTACGCACATCCTCAAAAATGTCAACTGATGATGCTAGTTGTGAGAAAGAACAGCCCAGCCCCATCCACAGCTTTGGATGCTGTGGCACACAGGCACTTGTGCTGCATACAGCTACAGCAGCCTTTCTAGGCAAGCAAGGGAGGGAGGGCTGGCCACCTCTGTTCCCACAACCCTTCTGGTTCCAAGTGCTACTTCCTGTCTGCCTGCATAAACGTCTGCAACAGCATTAAATGGCCAGAGGACTATTAGGATACTCTCCTAAGTGGCTATAGCAGTAGCAGGTGGCATGGTAGGGCAGAGAACGCTGACTTGACCTCTTGGCAGGTGAGTCCCTGCTGCTTAAGAAAGGTGAGGTGGTGGGGAGGGCAGCACTGTCAACGCAAAGGCAGAGCCGACCTGGCGCTCCTGCTGCTGCGTTTGCACTGTGCTGCCCTCCTGCCACGTCAAGCTCTTCCCACCCAGTAAGCAGCTGCAATTCACCTGCCAAGAGATCAGGTAAGCATCTCCACCCCACAAGTCATCTGCTGCTAGGCTGAAGGCAGATCTGTACCCTGCCAGGC